TTTTAACGATCAAATATTTTTTGTTACTGTACCTCCTCTATGTAGGTCTTGACCCAGCTAACCCAAGCTTCCTTACGTTCCTTGCCGATATCTAATAGAACTGCCTTCAGAGGGACCAGCAGCTCCTTCTCTGGGATGCTAGGATCAGCTTTGACATTGGAAAGTAATCTAAAGAAATTTGTGTAATCAACCTTGTCAACAGCCATGTTGTTGAGAAGCTTGCCGATTAACTGCTTATTGTACTTTGGCAAACCAAGTTTCTTGGTCATTATTGATTGATAGTCATCCATAAATTTGTCTCCGTATCTGTAAGAGGAGAGCGGAAATGTCATAATATAAGTGCAATGGAAGGTCAACAAATCTTGAACGGATAAAGGTTCGATAAAGCAAAACCACCTTTCCATGGCATAGTTGGCTTCTTTATCATTTATTAATCCAGCGGCTGAAAGAGTCGAGGCAAACTGGGCTATATTCCATAAGCCTATATCTGGCTGATTTGCAAAACAATATCTTCTTCCCGGAAGATCAGTTGTATTAGGCGTAAAACTAGGATCAAAAGCATCCAAAAATCCAAATGGACCATAATCAATGGTAAGACCCAAGATACTCATATTGTCAGTGTTGAGTACGCCGTGTGTGAACCCAACCCCCTGCCATCTTGCTATTAAGGAAGCTGTTCGCTCAGCGACTTCTACGGTCCAAGCTGATAACATCATCCATGCAAAGGCAACAAAAAGAGAAGTGTCATACCATAAAATCATAACCCTTTTTGTTTAGAGACAGCAAGTTGAATATGACAAAAAGGAGGATATGCATCTACCATGCAATAAGATGGAAAACTTTTGTATGCCCTTGTTCATTCTTTAATACCTCTCAATAAATACTCAGTTCCTACCCAAAGAAGTACAAATAAATAAATAAAAATAGAGATGGCATGCACTGGACTCAACAAAAATGTCACAGACGAGCCAAGAACAGTGGAGAAGTAAATGATTCCCCATCCCCTTACAGACCACCGCAACCACAGGAAGAACAAAAGTTGCAGCATTAATTTTCTTTCCTTTCATGTACTATTGATTAATTTTCAGATAAAATAGCAACAAATAGCTCAATTCAAGCTATAGCTTTGATTAATGATACTCAGCAGAGAACATGTTTATTGGCTAAAAGCTTTTTTTTTCCCCCCAAAACAAGTAATAGTTCTAGTTCTTATCCGTTACAACAGTCACATCTTATAACTCAACTAATTAAGGCACGTCCATTTTTCTTCCCACCTCTATCATTCCTAAGCATGAGATTTTCCAGAAAAATAGATGGACCATAATTTGTACACTGTCTAAACACACAGTTGAGTTCTTGTCACAAACTATTTTTAACTACAATCGTATACATTAAACAGAAACAATTACCTGCATATTTGTTTAAAGTGAGATCGATAACTGAACTATCTTTGTCGTCTGTGCTGAAAGATAAACTCTGACTGCTGCTCATGTTCTCTATGTGAGGAAAATGGTGGCGGATTGCATAGTCTGCTAAAGCCCGAACAATTTCATAATCATCTTTCCCTCTAGAGGTATGAATTTGGTATGATCCAAAACGCAAAAAGGATTGAGCCACCCTGCATATAATTGCACCAGGCTCTTCTTTTGGATTCCCACTACAAATTCAAACAATATGAACTGTTATTGCATTGCCTTAACCAATATGGATATATGTCAAATCCTTTTCTTCACATTCTAAAGTTAATTTACATGTTGAAAGCTACCATAAAAGTACCTACATAGAGATACTCACGAAAAATCATGATTTGAATATTAAAAAAAAAAAAAAAAAAAAAACCTATCTCGTTATGAAGTTTATGTGTTAAGGGTTTTGCAACAGAAGAAAAAACCCATATTCAGAAATAATTCTTGCATGTATGAGAAAACCATATTCAAAAGCACACGCAGATATAAAATCGTAGTATAACTACAAATTGTCTTTGGCCATCTTGACAAGGTTTTTTTGTCGACGTACTCATAGAACATATCTCGGGTAACCAATGTTCCTGTGGTCAGAAGACAAAGTGCACGAGTTGTTGGTATTCCAAGACTGTGCATTGCTTCACTACAAAGGAACTCCCTGACGCTACTTCGTAGCACAGCCAAGCCATCTGCAGACCGACTGTATGGAGTCTTCCCAGCACCTTTTAGCTGCAACTCCCACCTTTCAGAACGGGAATTAAGTATCTCTCCAAGGGTTATTGCTCGACCATCACCCAACTGTCCAGCCCACATGCCAAACTGATGGCCTCCATAACATTGAGCGTAAGGCGACCTGTAACACTCAATATCAGTTGGCAGGGGACGATAATGAAAATCATAATGTCCGTGCTGTCCATCAATCAGTATTTCACACTTACACTCCAACTAATGAAGATGCGCCAGAGAACAAGAGGGGGAAATCTGGCCTTTGAAATCTGCAATGACAAAAGCAAAATCCTTCAGCTCTTGCAAGAAGAAAACACCTCTGAGGGAGAGGACATTCATGACACAAATTGGATAAAATCCAGCATTTTCAATATGAAATGAAACGTTACCATTGCCTGAACAGACATCTAATTGAATGCAGTGGAATAAGATTGAAATACAAAGATAGTTGTTTTACAATTGGAGGGTTTTATGCATTCTTCCAAGTTGTGCTGAGTAATTTGTATTTATGGAATTGGTAAGGTTTTCGTGAGGAATGGGTATATCTATCTTGGATAAAAAGAAAGAAGAACTTAAATCGGTTATGCATTGATACATCTAAATATATTCATACGTTATTCAAAATTAAACTATAATGAGAGAAGATCTTTAAACTATGATCATGAGGGTCTAGTAGAGTGTATAGCAATCAAACAATGATATTACGATCCTACTCAAACTAAATATCCATGCTTCATACCTTATATTATATATTGCAAATACCCTCATCTATCAATTCTATCAAACAGCAAAAGAAATAAGAAAACTCACTCTTGAGGATCCAAATCTAGCAAATTGGCAACGGATTCTGACCAAGCAACAAGCTGAGGACTATCTACTTCCACGGATGGCAACACATTTGAGTAGCATGCATGTAATACCTAAAATTCGCATGGAAGTTAAACGCAGCCAATTAACGGCATCAAGAATGGATCACATGGTTACAATAAATATTTATTAATCGAACATACAAATCCAATTGATTGCTCAGAACGACCGGAAGAAAATTAAACTAGTTATAGAGACCAAGTAAAATGTAGAACCCTTCTTGTTTGAATGAAAATGAACCCAAGGGCGGGCAAATCAAAATCTAGATCAAACCCATTTGAACACCGAGAAGTAGCTGAAACTCGCAGTAAGGTAAACCCATTAAACTGTAAGCATACAAAAGTGTTCCTACTCGAGCTTTAAATTGATTACACACATTAATTATCAAAAAAACAAAGAAATAGAACCTCTCGAGGAATGATATCGGTAAGGGGATCGCCAGGCAGTTCTCTGACAAAGGAATTGTCCCATTTCAGATCTTCGAGCTTCTTTTTAGCCTGATGCTCGACGCTACTTCCTCCATCGCCACGATCGTCGCTGTTCAAGCTCTGATTCTTCAAACCCTCCGCCACGGAGTCGACCGACGCCGAAACCTCCGGTGAAGTAGAGTCCATGGAAACTCTCCGGAGGCCGTGGCGAGAGTGGCCAGCGAGTGGTTAAGGAAATAGACGAGAGAAGTAGAAGGACGGCGAATGAGAAGAGTGGAACGACGGCGAACTAAGCCGAGACGGTGGCGATGGCGGAGGAGAGAAACGCGGGGAAGCGGCGAAAGCCTGTGGAAGAAATGGGAAACCAAACCAATGACAATTCTGTTTCTGTTTTTGTCTTTTTTTTTTTTTTTTTTTTTT